GCCCCCACCTTCCCCACCCACACCCAAAGAACTACGAGAAAAAGAATGTCCGGTTCATAAAGTCTCCTGTCTTTTCGGTTGTTGTTAATCCTCACCCTAGGATATTTATCCACTGATTTTAGAGTGGAAGGGGGTGGGAGAGGGAAAGACGGAGGGAGGGAGGGAGGGAGGGAGGGAGAGAGAAAGAGAGAGAGAGGAGAGAGAAACACACCGATTGGTTACCTCCCCCAGGTACGTGCCCTTGACCTGGAAGCCTCCCTCCAGTGTATGGGCGACGCTCAACCACTGAGCCACACCAGCCAGGGCTAACGTCTCCTGTCTTGAGGGTAAGACGACGTGCCTTGTGGGGGTGACAACAGGTTCAGCTCCCCATTCCAGGGCGCAGCACCCAGGTTGCTGGGGCTGAGCATAGATTTTGCAGGAAGTTTAGCTCAGTAGCTTCAGACTCTGCGAAATTACTCTTTGGAGCAACTGACTACCAAGGCCTTCCACCCAGCCCCGGGGCATGCGTAGTGAGAGATACACACACACACACATACACAGACACGCACACGCACACTAAATAGAATATATGACTGCACAGAACACGTAAATAGGATCTATATGTACATATGTCGTGAATAGAACATTAATTTCACATTTAGCCCGTTAACTTTGAAGTCGCTAGAACATATATTTTGGGGAACATTCCGCTTCCCTTCGGAATGCTGGGGATTTCCCTCTGTCGACAGGAAGCACTGGATGCACTTGGGAATCTGCTTTTGAGTCTGGGGGTAACGTGGCTGTGGGTTCCTGCGTCTGGACAGGCAGAGGGGACCCTCACCCTCCAGGGCCTGCAGAGATGGTTCGTTTTTTAAATTTTTGCTTTGGCTATTTTTCGTGGTGGCTCATTTTTGTCCTGCACTTCTTTGATTTGGAAAGTGCCCTCGTATACTTACTTTTTTAGGTCCCAAAAGCTTTTTTAAAAAACTTTTCGTAAATATAAAAATTCATTGCTGGTGGTCTTTTTGAGCACCTCTGCGTTTCTAAAACTATTTTTGGTTTTTCTTTTCATCAACGTCGTGGATACACAGGGCCTCCAGCATCAACTGGTTCTGGGACTTAGTATGGGAGACGGCAGGCCCCAACCCCCGCCCCCCTGTCTGCACCCACCTGTGTGCCCCCCATTCTAAGCTCTGTGTCTCCAAGTCTGTAAACAACATCCTTATACTCCAACTTCCTGACTTTCCGTTTCAGACATTAACTGCCTGCCCACCCTGAAGGGGAAAATGTGTTCACTTTCTGACACGCCACCTGCCTTCATCTCTCTCTGTCGCCGGCTCTGCTTCTGTCTCTCTTTGTCTCTCTGCCTCTCTCACTCTCACACACAGTACAATTATGCTGCAACTTTAGCCAGATCGATATTCGATTTTACATCAATATGACCAAGTAAACGCTACCCACAGCTGAACCATGTGGGATATTGTGTTTTAATTTTCCTTCATGCGCAAACTTTTGTTTTCACGGGAGTTAAAAACAGCCTGTTTATTTGCTCAGTTTCCTCTGCATTTACCTCTAAGCCTCCTCTCAGCACTCCCAACCTTCCTGGGCATCCCGGCAGAGCGTCTGTCCTGCTGTCTGTCCTGCTTCCCCTGGCCCTCCCTTCTCTCCTGGATCCCATGTCTCCCCTCTTGGCTTATTCCTTCTGTGGTTTCCCCGAGAAGGGTGCGTAGAAGGGAGCTTTTGAGTCTTTGGATGTCTGAGGTGTCTTCAGTCTACCCAGGTATGCGCCCTTGATCACAAATCAAACCCTCAACCCTCTGTGCGTGGGACGACGCTATAACCCCTAAGCGACAGCGGCCGGCAGGAGCTGGCATTTTTGAAAGGCGTCGTGTCAGTGCCAGGATCAAAAAATATAACTCACATCTGCGGTCCTCAACTCATTCACCAAGAACTCTGTCCATCAGGAATAAAATAAAAATACACGAAAGCTTCCAGAACAAAGCCTGTCAGAATGTTTGAGTGAGTCAGAATAAGAGACAAGAAGAGAGATAATTTTAGCCTTCTTTAAAAAAAAATAAAATAAAAAAAGGAAACCCCAAATGCCCGGCCGGTCAATACGCTTTTAGCTCCGCAGGAAGAATAAATAATTTAGGCATCTATTTCCATTCCTCCACCACCTGCTTGCTTCTATTTTAGCGAGGCAGCAGCCACAGGGCACCATCGCCGAAGAGGGTTTGATTACGGTGTAAATGTGGGTTAAATGCCATTTACGAACATATTGTCTTTGAGAACCTGACTTTTGAGAAATGTATCTTTTTTACTTAAATGTTTCTATTGATTTGAGAGAGAGAGAGAGAGAGAGAGAGAGAGAGAGATTGAACCATAGGTGAGAGAATCATCGACGGCCGCCTCCTCCACGCTCCCTGGCCAGGAATGGAACTGGTGACCTCTCGGGACCTGGGTCGACGCTCAACCACTGAGCACACTGGCCAGGCTGAGGAACGTATCTTATGCTGAACTGAAGTATCAGATGCAAGACGGGCGGTTCCCAGGGACGGGACGAGGGGAATGTTCCGGAATTAGAGAGTGGGGATTCATCGAGACTGAGTGTACTAACTGCCACTGAATCGTTCCCTTTAAAATGGTTCTTTTCTATCATGTAAATTTGACCTAAAAAATATACATGTACATATGTCCTGCCCAGAAACGGACTCTGCCTGGCTTTCGGGATGGGAAGGGCAACAGGTGGAGGGGCTGGAGGAGTGGGGGGAAAGGGCTGGAGGGGGGGAAGGGCTGGAGGAAGGGGCCCGGGATAGGCTGGGAGCTTCAGCCCAGCCCAGCGCCCGCCCCCCCGCCCCTCGGGGGACTGGGACAGGACAGGGATTTGACACGCGTCCATCATATGGGAACCCGCTCCTGGAGCAGCTCCCCTGCTCTGTGCAGACTCTGCCGTCTCCTTTCTGAAAAGGAGAGTGTTCCCTGCTTGTTTCTCCGCCTGGTTTTTCTCACCGGTGCCTCCCTCTCCTCATGACCTGGCTGCATTTATGGCTACCTCTGTAAACTAGCTCTTGCTTTTATTTTTAATCAGACAAAATGCCAGTCCTGTCACGAGTCACCGTCTGATTCAAATCCATGAGCAGACTCGGCTGAGTCACCTCTGGGGGAGGAGGAGCCATTAATTATTAGCTGCGAGAGGCTGGAGCCCGGAGTGGCCTGAGCTCACTGTCGGCGCAAGGGGCCCTGGGTCAGGCCTGTGCGGTCCTCCGCCAGCAGCTATGGGACGTCTCCCAAGAGATGACCCTTCGCCGTGGTTCCAGGCCGGAAACCAGGGCATCCGTGGAAAGATCTAGAAGCCAGGCACAGAGTCTCAGGGCCGGAGCTGCTGGGCAGTGACGCAGCCCCTGAGCCCCGGCACAGCGCA